CTTAGGGTTAGGGCTTATAGGGTTTACGTTTCGGGCAAACGGGCATAGGGTAGCTCGCTCGCCTCTGCTCAAGCGAGCTGGGGTCCGGCGTTTAGACTTCGCTACACGGAAACTCTCAAGTAAGGCAGCGAAGGAAAAGAAGAATGGTGCGCGCTTGTAATTTCAATCTACCGCAGCCCCACACCTGCAAAGCCCGTACATCATTCAAGCACCCTCTAGTTCAACGACCCTTTTAAAAAACCAACATCCTAACCACCAAAAACTCCGAATATCACATCCTCAAGATACCCCCCTCCAGGAATAATTAGTGTTCAGGGTTCAAGGAGATTTGGGTTTGGAGCCAATGCCAAAATGCCGCGAGTCCTTGCCATTCGGGCCGGCACACCTGATGGCAGGTCGGCTCTTACTTACAAGAGCTTCCGGATTTCTGAATCGCCGGAGTTTCTGGCCGGCGTCCAAAACCCTGAACCCCCAAATCGTTGAATCCTTGCAACCCTAGACACATGGCAGGAGCCCTCTAACGGATCCTAGTATTAGGCAAAATCTTGAACCCGAGACTTAAGCCGTCTTCACTATCAACCTGAAGTGCAAACTCAGTAGACTTGTCAAGGCTTATGAAGCCACAAATCTCATTCCTAAACCTCAACAGGGAACTCTAAACCCTAAACTCCCTTAAACCCGATTCCAAAAGTCGACACCTGGCGGCCTCCAGAATTGACATGCAGACAGATCCTCGCAGCCCGTTAACGCTTACGTCATATGCCCCACGATACTTTCCGGCAATACATAGAGTCTTGTGTTGTGTTTGACATGTTGTTCGTGCCAGGCTTGAGAAGGGTCATAGCTTTTAAGATGTCAGTGTTTCGGATCTTTGGAGCTGTGTCCTTCTGTTTTGGCTTTGATCCCTTTGCTGGGCACTTGAATCCGTACCGAAACCCCATTAGCTAAACCTCTCAAGCCTCGCAACATCCTACGGAGTCTTAGAAAGCAAGGGGCACCACTAACACCCGCGATGCACCTTGAAAAAAGAACCCTAAGCCCTAAACCCTAACCCCTAAACCCCGGAACCCCTAAACCCTAAATCCTAAACCCTCAACCCTACAGTAAAGGCTAAACCCGAAACACCATTCCTTGGCTTCCACCAACCCTAAACCCTAAACCCTAAACCTTAAGCCTTAAACCCTAAATCCTAAACCCTAAACCCTAACAGACTTGGCATGGCCTGTACGGCTTCAGTGCTGACGGGCCGGGAGACTCCGCTCCAAAGGGTATCTCCTGCAGGACCGGGCTTGGGTTAGGGTTTAGGGTTTAGGGTTTTGGGGGTTTAGGGGTTTTGGTTTAGGTTTTGTGGCTTAGGGTTTAGGTGAGGGTTCAGAGTTTGCGAGTTTACTTTCAGGGTTTACGGTGTTGGGTCTCATGTCTGCCTTTTAATACCGCCCTCATCTGTCGGCCTAACGGCATTCTAAATCGCCCTACGGACCATGTTGAGGGCTTCGGGTTAAAAGTTAAGGCTTTCGACACTTACACTAGATATTTCGATAAGTCCGATAATGTCTGTAGCGAAAGTATCAGGTCAACAGACGAGAAGTATGCACACCTGCCACCTGGACTACCAAACCCTACACCATACATGCTAATCCCACATCCTATGCCCCAAAACAGACACGGCAAGGAGAAGTAGTAACTATGGTATCGTACTCACATGACAACAATCCACTCTGAGGACGATGGGCACAACAGCCAACAAGATAGAGAACTGGTGAAGGGATTTAGGGTCTGGGTTAGGTCGTTTAACGTTTGATGACTTCTCGTTGCAGCTCTTACCTTGTTATAGTTGAATAATACACATAAGGGCTTCGGGGTTCTGTTTCGTTTGAGGTTTAGGCCAGTCTGGGGCTAAAGCGGATTTGCCTTCGTCCGTGTAAGCCAGAATCTGCTTTAGGGTGTTTCCCCATAAGCGCCTCGTCTTGTGAAGCCCGTAAGATTACTAAAAGCCTGAAGAAGCTAATTTTCTCAGGGCATATCCCCAAAACCCGAACCCCAGTCTAGTTCTTTCGGCCCGTACATACATTGAACCAATGAATTGGAGGTTTGGCTCACCTTAAACCATCTTCCTTCCAACCACAGGCAGTGGGGTTTAGGATTTAGGGTAACTCTGGCCCTCAACCAAAAAAAAACCTGAGCCCTACCACCCTATCCCCCTCCCTTCCGTCCCCGCCCAATGGCCTTGGTCGCGATCAGCAAACTATAGTCCATCAGGTTGTGCCCTTACAAAGCGGGGCCAAATTCTGTCTACCATGTTGGGGCAATGTTTGCAATAATTTTTGCCCCAAATCTGTCGGGTCTTAGGGCATGTTACTGCGTGCAACGACTGGTGATACTTGCGCGGTGTTGCACGTTATCGACTTTGTAGCGAAAGGCTTACGGCTTAAGGGTTTCGACTTCAGGGGGTTCAGATGAGGGAGCTGCTTTACGAGGAGATCGACGTCATCGTTTACCCCTGCTGTCTGGCAAAGCAAATCACTGTCAACTTAAGGGCGGGCTTGCTCTTAAAGAACTTCACAGGCTAGAATCACCAACCGCTGACCGTCCTTGGGATGTCAGTTCATGAGGATGAACCACCCTCTACCCTAAACCCAACACAAAGCCACAAATCCGCTCAAGACCCACTACCCCACAAAGCTCACCCGGATCTCCTCAAATCCGGAATCCCAGCTTGTAGCACGTCAGGCTGTGTGGTTGAAAGGTTTTAATCTAAGGAAGACTCCTGCAAGTATGCCTGATTTAATATAGGGGCCTTAATAATTAGAATAAGGTTTGGGGGTATAATCTACCAGGACAAAAAAAGCAACCCCCAAAAGCCCTATTCCAACTTTTAAGGCCCCTATACTCGTTTATTGGGGTCTGGATGTTGGGCTCAAAATGTTCCGAAGGTCCCACGAAGTGTAAACAAGCAAAAGACCTCCCAGCCAACTGCCAGTACACGGTTTAGGGTTTAGGGCTTAGGGCCTTTACAGTTTAGGGTTTGGGGTTTAGAGTTTAGGGCTTAAACTGCCTTTTCTAAGGGTGCCGTACTGTTTTGGGGACCCTAAAAAGGACCCTGATCTTAAAGAAATACTCGCCTGGTCTGGGTCTGGACTCCTTTTTCATCAGGATCTCTGGCCCCGGCCCTCTACTTTTAACGTCCCCAAATTAATATTGTTATTATTATTGTTATTATTATTGTGATTATGAGTATTTCCCCTCTCGCCCTGCCAAACGCTTTTATGATGGTTGGTATCATTACTTGTTCGTAGTGTGGATTCTAGTGCATTATAGTAGCTGCCTAACCTACCAGAACCTGGCCCGTTGCGAAGGCGTCAGTATAGCTGAGCTTGTATGTATGCCGCTCGAGGCCGCGACCCCATCCACACAAGCCTCAACACTCAAAGCATAGTCCCCGCCTGCAAGAAAGTCTGTATCCCGCTTCAGCCTCAGGGGGAATCCGGCTACCCATAGGCCCTATAGTAGTTCGGTTTTGGGATTACCTTATAGGATTCTAAATATGAAGCCCCAAAAAAGAACTACTATGGGCCCTATGGCTAGTGTTGCAAAGGCTGTCAGGCTTCCAAGGCTTGAACTGTAGGCTTCCAGGATGCACTCGGAGCAAACTTAGAACTTCGGCTTTGGAAAGAAAGCCTTTTGGGTCGCTAAACCCTAAACCTAAAGCTTTCCTGGCTTGGTCTTTTGGAAAGACGGGCCAGGCACCAAACTCGTTCCGACTTCCGACTTCTGCAAAAAAGTTATCAGGTACGAGCCCGGTAGCCTTCAATGTTTAGGTTAAGGGTTTAGGATTTAGGGCTCTTACCCTGTGGACGACAAAATCAGAAGGCAATTGAATTAAACAGGATCCGATGAGGAGCCTCTGCTGTGAGTCCACAAGTTCCCTCAGTGCGCAGGTAGTCGAGCTCTCCGAGCGCCCGTCCTTTAAGTGAGGCTTTTAACTCTACCTCCAACTCTGGGTTTTATCTGAGGTGTAACCCTTAAGTACGGGGTATGTGGAACCCTAAACCCTAACAAAGTGCCCGCTGTCTTAGTGGCTTTAGAGTTGTAGAGACTGGCGGCTCAGGGGTCCCAACTCAACCTGCACCGTAGAACCTGAACCCTACTTAAAAGGATCATGGGACTTAGTAAGTAGGGTTGTAACTAAGGTAACTATACTTATAACCCCAATTAGGGGACTTCTAACCCTACTTACTAAGTCCCATGATCCTTGAAGTAATGCCAGAACCTGTGCGTAGGTGCACATAGCCTGCAGCCTCCAAGCAGCGTGCCATTGTTGAACCGTACAAACCCTAAACCATATGAGCCCTAAACCCTAAACCCTAAACCCTAAAATGAGCATCAGTTCGTGCCCTCCGGCTTCCCGGCTTCCCCCAAGCCTACACCCAGATTCCTGCACCAGGAAAGAGAGCCTGAACCCTTCCAAAAACCCAAAACCTTTAGGGTTTAGGGTTTAGGGTTTAGGCTGTCAACCCTCAACCATGAAATGCGGCATAGCAGCAAGCTGATGAAGGAAGATCGCTGCTGCGGTGGAAGCTCCTCTGCAAGCTAAACGCTGTCAGTCTTTCAGAGCTTGTGCAGGGATATCATTAGCATGAAGGGGCTTGTCGGGCATGGGAACTTAGATTTTTTGCGGCCTTTCGGATGAAGGGGTTTAGGCTGGATCTAGGAGTCTCAAGCTTCTAGGGATGGGGGTGCAGGGTTTAGCCGATGTCGTGTCTTGAACTCTGGGCTTTATAGGCTTAGGGTTTGGGGTCAGGGTTTGGGGATGAAAGTAGGCTTCGCGATTTCCCCGGGAAGGTGGAAAGAGCAACTGCTCCAGTTGCTCCAGGCACACGCCAGACCATCTGTCCACATGTTCGACACATGACATAGGGGATTCATGGACAGAATTCGGGCTTATGATGAGTTGCTACAGCTTCAGCATGTAGCTCCACGGAGTTTTAAATCCGAAACTCGCTCAAGCTTCAATGGAGCAACGTCACATGGTAAAAGCGATCTGAATCTTCGAAGCACAAATAGAAAACTCCAAAGTCTTAGACATGAGGTCTAGACATGTTGCATTTGCTGACGAACAACCCTAAACCCTAAACCCTAAACCCTAAACCCCTTTCTTTTGGAACCCAGACGCTGCCAATCAGCTGGGAAGCCGCACTTGCAGACTATTGCATCCTAAACCTTACACCCTAAACCCAAACCCCAAACCGGTAAACCCTAAACCCTAAACCTTACACCCTGAACCCCGAACCCTAAACCCTAAACCCCAAAAAGGTAAACCCTAAACCCTAAACCTTACACCCTGAACCCTAAACCCCCAAACCCTAAACCCGACTGTACAATCGCCTTTCGCTCCAAGCCCCTGAGCCCTACTGTAGCATGGCTGGAGGCGGAGTATGGAAAGGCCCGGAAATTCAGAAAAAGGGTTAGGGTTTAGGGTTTAGGGTTTAGGGTAGGTTTTTGGGTCTGTACTTGACTCCCCGCAAATCACAAGGCAATAGCAAATCAGACTTTCAGAATAATGTCAACTTACTCATGAAAACATCTAAGAACCTATAGGCTGCAACAGGTGGGTATCGCGGGGTCATAGGAGTTTACAAACGAAAGCATATAAGAGAATAGTGCGATCCATCATGCAATCAACCCCAAGAAAGGACTTCCGAAAAAATGTTACAGTCCTGAAGCATTTTGAAGCCATACGGTATCCTGCCGGGGCCCCTGCCACCTGAATTCTTCGAGCTTCCACTTTCCCGGCATAGTAGCCTCGTTCAACGAATACCCTAACTCCTATACCCTAAACCCAAAACCCTAAACCCTAAACCCTAAACCGTATAAACCCGAAGAGCTGACGTGTGGAGCGACGTTATGGGTTTCCGGTGCTGATGCGAGGCTCACCGAAAGAAAGGCCACATCTTCAAAATCTGCACCCCTAAAGCCTGCCCTTGACAGTTTAGGGGTCTAGGGGTTTAGGGTTTAGAGGTTTAGGGTTTAGGGTTTAGGGTTTAGGGTTTAGGGGTTAGGGGTTTAGGGTTTAGAGGTTTAGAGCCTGCTTGAAGGCCCCAGGCTGAAGATTCAATTCTGAGTCTTGTTTGTCCAGGCTTTGGGCTCTCACACTGAATGGGTAGGGTTGGTGCTCCGAGTGAAGATTGCTCGGAAACATTGCGCCCCACCAACCAAACGGGATTGTGCACGGATACAAGCAGCAGACACTGGAACCATTTTGAACCACTGCTGCTCTAAACCCTAAACCCTAAACAGACACTGGAACCATCTTGAACCACTGCTGCTATGCGATGCCCAGGAAGAGCTTCTTGGGCCAAGCAGCGCTTACGCTCATCCGTCCAATTCACCTGGCCTGAGCTTTCGGCTAGGGCCTTTAGGGTTTAGGGTTTAGGGTTTAGGTTTATTAGGCCCCATAGTAGTTCCTTTTTGGGGTTACCTTATAGGATTCTAAATATGAACCCCAAAAAGGAACTACTATGGGGCCTTTAGGGTTTAGGGCCTTTGGGGTTTACTTGGAGGATCAGTAAGGTTATAAGTCCCCTATATGGGGTTCTAAGTATAGTTACCTTAGTTATAACCCTACTTACTAAGTCCCATGATCCTTTAAGTAGGCTGTTTCTTGGGGTGCGCGGGCATTGCCTAAACCCTAAACCCTAAACCCTAAACCGGGGAGGATCAACTCGCAGAACTCTCTGAGGACTTGGGTCCTTGCCACACCACATGCCGACCTTCCATATCCTTAGTTTAGGGTTTAGGGTTTAGGGTCTCTCTTTCTTCGCGCTGAAGGTGCAGGGCTTCGTGCTGTGAAAACTGCTCGAGAACTAAACTTCGACATGCGACTGAAGGTAACAGCAACTTATAACGGTGTGCTAATGTAGGGGCTTTAAGAAGTAGAATATACAATACTAATCAATAATAATAATAATAACAATAATAATAACAATAAGAAGGAACACCCAATATTCGTAAATAATTTACGCTTCTATATTACGTAGCAAATCGCCTCTGTGGCTAGGCCTCAAGCTGGTGAAGCCGTAGCAAGTGCTGCGGCTGCAGGCCGACTCAATCCGACCCCAACGATGACTTCATGCCTATGGAGAACCCATGGAAGGTGGTATCGAGGCTTAGGGTTTAGGGTTTAGTTTAGGGCCTAGGGTTTAGGGCTTAGGGTTTAGGGTAAGTACAAGACACATCTTTAGTTCCATTCGCCTAAACACATAATTCCAAATAGAAGCTTTAAAACTGTACCCGTCTTCCCGGCATCCGGCTCGCAGGTTCCATTGAAACATGAAACGGTTTAGGGTTTAGGGTTTAGGGTTTAGGATTATGGGCACGAGTGCTATCATGGGTAAAGTCATGTAAAGTCAAGATTCCGCTTGTGCACGGCTTTGATGCGCTCACCTCATACAGCAAGTGCAGCCCGACACACGAACTCCGCGTTCCTGAAACTATGTGGGTGGTTGTCAAAATTATGGTCCCTTTTGGGTCCTTATTATAATACGGCACCTATTATTTAGGGTACCCCAAAAGGGACCATAATTTTGACAACTACCCATGTGCAGCCGTACAGCCTTCTTTCTCGATGAGCTTGTCGTCTGCGCAACCCTTGAGGTCATAGCACGCCTGCATCTGTGGCTTTTTTGCATCCAGGACTCTTGCAAGCAGCCGGGAAACTCCATCTGTGGCTAAAACCCGAAACCCTAAACCCACGGTTTTGGGAATGTCAGAAAACTAGGGTACCTTATTTTGGGGTCCTTATAATAAGGATCCTACTAGTTGGGGTCCTATATCAGGGCCCCTTATTTTCTGAAACTCCCTTTTGGAAGCGACAGCATGCTGCTGAAGTGCTGGCATGACAGAATTTCTTCCGAACGAAGCTCTTGCAAAAAGCCTTCTAGAAGTTTCACAGGCGGTGGCAGGACAAGTGACGACCACCCCTGCTGCACAAACAAGCAGCGTCACAAAAGCTCGGGGTGTCTGACTATGACAATGAAACATAATGGCCCTCAACGCTATTCCGCCGTCGTGCCTTAAACGGGCTCTTGCCGATGCTGTTGCGCATGGCGAAGAGGTACCTATCCGATGCCACATCTCCTGAGAACAGCATAACATGCCAAAACATAACCCAGGCTCACCAAACAAGTACGTGTAAACCTTGCAGCCGGGGCGCTGAAATGCAAATATATTGGCGAGAGCCTTACAAAACGCGGACCACAGGCCGTCTGTAAACAGATCTATCGAACACAGTTTTTGGGCTCTGGCAAAGTGTCGCCTGTCCGCACGTGGTCGCCTCAAAAGCTTCTTGAATCTTTCTTGGCCACATCACCGCAGGCTCGACTGCCGCAAAACCTAGTAAAACAACCCAAAGCCCTACTGCACCCCAAACCCCAAAGCCCTGCACCCGGAACCCACACATGACCAAGGCCCAAACCATAAGCTGGAGCCAAACTCAGCAACGACTTGTGGTCGCCAGCGCTAAGTTCCTGCCGGTCGCTAATCACTAAGCTACGGATTCTATGGCAAGTCATCGGGCACAAAGCGTTGTGTACGCAGTTTGAAGATGTTGTCAGGCGTGCTTCGAATTTATGATTAATTGCACAAAGTCCTTACTTCTTCTCCCAGCGTCTAGAAATTGAATTTTGGGCTGCGAGCCCTTTGCAAAAACAACTCGTAAAGGTGTGTCATCGTACCCGGCGTCCTTGACGATAAATTTGTCTTCGACAAATGCCATCATGCTCCCACCCTTTCCACCTGCGAAGCACATCGACACATGGATAGACACGGACTGCTCACGACATGGCAAACTGCTGGCCTCCGTGCTGGAAGTTAGCAAAGTCCCAACCGGTGTTCAGGAAATCCTGCCCAACGGCCGAAACCCAACGAAACCCACAAATGGACTTGTGTCACTGCGGACGAAAACGAACAAACTGACAGAGCATCTGGCATCTGGAACACCGGCACGTGACCGGAGCCTGAGCTAAGGAAGACAGGTCTGTGCTTCAACACTGCAATAAGCGTGATCCTGCGGCCAATTCTGTTTCATGTTTACACAGTTCCTCTGCCTGGTAATTGCTGCAGCGATATGTGACAGAAAGCGCATAAGTTCGCTTGACGTCTTTGCGCATCGAAACAACCACAGGGGCCAGGACTCAGAGAACACGTTCTCGTTGAACAGCTCCACCTGGCCGGGTGCCAATGGGTGTAGGGGAAAACGGTTCTCAAGTGCGAATGAAATGCAAAAGGCCCAACCGGCTGTTGCTAAGGTCGGCGCTGTTCGGCCAGCCTCGGAAAACAATGAACATAGTGACATACATGGTATCAAAGTACAGTACACATTCGTCCGTGAATTCCGCATAACTGCTTTGGCTTAAGGACTATAGCTTGTTGAGAATGTAAGACGATTGTTTTTAAGAAAGTGACCCTGCAACTGCGGGATCCAACGTGACCATGCAATTCAAGAATGCTGCGGGTATTCGCCGCAACACTGTTGTGTGGGAGAAGCCTATGCGCACCCGACGCGCCCAACAAAGTCCCAGAGTGCCACGAACGATTGGGAGCAGCCCGGCAGACTCCCGGCACCTTATGAGTCCAAGTTGGGCGAGTACGACCACGCACTATGCCATGGCTACTACAACCCGGGCACGGAAACGGGGAATGAATCAAGGGTCAATGGGGAAGCGCTTTGCCTATTCCGGCTGCCTGCGGCAGCTCGCGCGTTGGGGGCAGTAGTGTGTGCAAGCCACCGTTGGGGGACGTGTGGGCCACTCGCACCAAACCCTTTGCGAGATTCTGCGCGGGTGGGCCAACAACCCGGCGCGAGTGCATGCTCCTGCTCAAGCGTGGTCAAGGCTCGCATGCAGGGGTATAGCGTAAGGAAGGCGCAAGCGGCTGCGGAACGCCTACCGCATGGCTTTGGGCGGGTGGCGATCAGCCAAGCGCCGGCCTGACGACCACCCCGCGAGCGGCTCAGCTTTGCCTAGGATTCTGTAGAATCCCCGCCCATGCTCATTGCTATGCAACAAAAATACAACTCGGTAGCCGGCAATAGGATCAATAAGGAATTTCCCAACGACCACTTGCAACATCAGCCCGCGGGGTGTGCAAACTGTTGTGCTGTCGCAGGGCGCGCGCATGAAAGGCCTTGCATGATCATATTGGCGTGCATTATCATGCATGTCTTGGATCCGGCTTGTGCCCTCGTGCACTAAAATCGTTCCTCCTGCCGGATCTGCATGCTTGCTTGTGCGCAAAGAATGCACATTGATGCCCGTTATGGATTGCTGTTCGGTCATGAGCTCCGACATGATAAAACAAAAACAGGAACGCGCAGTGCTGGCAATAGCAGTGTAAAAGTGGGAGGCCTGGGCCTGTCTTCCAGGCGGGAACATCGTCATGCTGCGCACTCGGCATCCTGGGCGGACACGATCGGCGCTTTGCGTCAGTGCCAACAGGGCACGCACGCTCGCCTCATGCAACCCTTCATGGATGTTTCCCCTCCCGCCTGGTGAAATGCGCGAGAGGCCGCGGCGTCACTCTGCTTTCGGGGCTTCCGCACGCCAACTTGGGCGGCGCTTTTGGACGGTGCGCGGCCGTGGCACGGGATGACGTGCATCGTGCTGTTGCTGTCCCAAAGTGGCACAAGTGCTAATTGCGCTCACACTTCTTCCTTATACCGAGCCACCCAGCGAGGAATTCCGAGTCTTGCTGCTGCTGCGGAGGCTCCGCCGCTTGGACCCCGGCACGCTGCGGGCGCTGCCAGCGACGGCCGGAGGATCGAGGTCGTCGCCGACGGCCCTCCGCTTTGGCGAGGGGCTCAAACCGCAGGCGACGCGACGTTGGTCACGACCCGGTGACGATGCGATAGCGCTGGCACGCCAGGAAGCCAAGGCGCGCAAGCTCCGCACCTAGCCGGAGCTCCAGTCAGGAGGGCAAAAACATTGCGGCTCGATGGTCTTCGGACTCGGGATTGGCGGGTGCTTCGATAGCCAAGCGTTGGCGCTGCTCCTTCCACCGGTTCGTGCTGGCGCCTGGGACCGAGCCGCGTGGGTGAGAGTGGCCGCGGGGGCAGTGCTTACACGGCGCCGGTAGCAATAACAGTAGTAGCACTAGCAATAGCAGAAATAGCAATAAAAGAAATTAATTGTCGTAGTATGGGTGTTTTGGAAACAATGGTAATAAGAGTAGTAATACTGGTCATATTAATAATGCTAATAAAAATTATAATAAGTATAATAATACGAATAATAGCATAACAATTGTAATACTACTCATACTAATGATAATAATCATGATAATAATAATGATAATAATAATGATAATAATATAATAGAAATAATAATAATAAAAATAGTAGTCATACTAATCATAGTAATAATTATAATAATGATCGTAGTAGTACTCGTAGTGATATTAGCAGGAATGATAATAGTAATACGGATAACAATAGTATTGGTAATAATATGGAAATACAAGGTTACAAAATAGTCCAAAAAATAAAGGGGGTAGTAGTAGTAATAATGGTTATGATAATCGTAATAGGGCGGGCGTTGGGGTTAGTATATACATGAATAGGTTGATAAATAATTTGTGTGATTGGTGCGTTCACTTATTGAAGTTATGTAAATGTACTTAGTGGAGTTAGTAAAAATGTCAAATCGGATATTCGTCTGTATGAAAACGGCATATTCTAAGGTAGCGAAATGCGATTTGAGAAGAGCATGGTATATTTGGGACGTTATACTACTAGTAGTAGTAGTAGTAGTAGCAGCAGTAGTAGTAGTAGTAATAATAATACTAATCGTAATCGTCATCGTAATATTTTCAAAATACTAATAATAATAACACTAATACCAATACTAATACTAATAATGATAGTCGTGGTCGCAGTAATAGTAGTAGTCGTGGTGGTGGTGGTGGTAATGATAATCCTACAGAGCGCGTCAAAATACGGGCTCGTGTTTTTAACACGGTTGTGTTTTGATATATCTCCTTGTCATGTAAATGTTCAGAAAACCACCTGGTTGGGGGCCTGAGTTTTTGTTTACATCATAGCAACCATACATCATAGCTGCGTCAGAACATCACTGGTACTTGTGATTATGTTTCTGCAAGCTCCTGTGTGCTGTGAGGGGCCCAAGGCTACAGGGACTGAGGGCCTGGCCACT